ATTGTATGGTGTTTACATTTTTCATGCAAAAAAACTATCCTGCTATCTTAACTGGTACTTACGTCTGTAGTACCAGTTGTCTGGTTTCTGGGTCTTTTGTAACATATGCAGTGAGACCAACAGCACTTGAACCTTTACCAGAGGTGTACTGACCACGGGGAACCAGATTGTATACATACTGGAGCAGCTGTGACTTACTTGTACCTGGATCACCACATAATAGGATGTTTATATCAGATCTGAGACAAACAAGAAAGGATATTTACAAAATATGCTAGTATTTAAGAAGGGCAGAGTAATCTGCATAATCTTACAGCTAACTTACAATTCAATTACTTCCACAAAAGCCTGTCTATTTCTGCCGTTGTTTTAATAAAGAACAAAGTGTAGTTCTGTACTTGTCTGACACAAAAAACAAACAAAACAAGCCATGCAGTCCCAGTTAGTTATTGAATTTAAGATATATAGTTTTGTTTATAGTAATATAGTTGGAATATAACCATGTCAGGAATATGATTATACTGCTTGTTTAACATTACAATGAGTGACATTTGTATCTGATCGTCAAACAAGTATTGAGAGATATTGCTCTGGAACAGCATTAATTAAAACAAAATCAGCCATTTTGAATACATGTATATATCTGTAACATAATGTATAATGAATATATACAATTTAAACATAATCAGTTACAGCATGTCAGAGATATGGCTCTAAAAGCCCATTCATTAAAACAAAATGACCGCCAGTCAGCCATTTTGAATCCGATCTAAAAAATAAAATGACGAGCATTAGGAACCCATAATGTCTAATGTATGTACCAAGATTGAATGAAATCCATCCATAAATGCCAGAAATGCTTGATATTTGATGATTTTTAAGCACAAAAATGGCCACCATTTGGCCATTTTGAATACGATCGTCAAACCAATATATCTGTACATCTATGACATGATGTATAATGAATATTTAAAATTTGAACATAATCATAATCATTTGAACAGCAAGTCAGAGATATGGCACGAGAAACACATTCATTAAAACAAAATGGCCGCAAGTCGGTCATTTTGAATCTTATCAGAAAAACAAAATTATTTGCATCAAGGTCTCATAATGTCTAATGTATAAACCAAGTTTGAACAAAAGCTATCTGTAAACAGCCGAGAAATGCTTGATTTTGACGATTTTTTAGCACAAAAATGGTCGCCATCTTGAATCAGATCGTGAAACAAATTGAGGTGCATATATATAATATCATGTATGATGTATGGATGAAGTTTGATTATGATCGGTCCAGGCATTTTTAAGATACAGGTTCGGACGCACGCACACACGGAAGAACAGACGCACTGCGTCCGGAACAGAGACTAACAAACATGCGACTATCCATTTGTCATACCTGAAATTTCCTCTGCCAGCATGACTGAAGTCTTTTTTCGTTCCCCCAAATAATTGACATAGTATACCTTTCTTTATGTCTTCATTCTCATAAATACTAGGAGCTGTGAAACAGAAAAGAACAAAGATGGAAAAGAATAAAAAGACTATGAATGATTATAGAAGGTGACAATGAGGTAAGTAGTGGATACAAACCTAAGGCTCTTGCCAAGCGTTCATAGATATCATCCTTACAAGCCAGGTCAACTAAAGCTTGCTTTCGTTCATCAGTCAGTTTTAATTCTCCATTGCTGAAAGCAGAAGAAATAAGAAGACTAAAAGTACACTAAAAACATAAATAGAATAGAATTCTTGAAACATTTCTGTAATGCAAATGTTGCACTGTGGATAAACAAGCGACACAACTGTCAAAATGGCTCTGCCGTTTCAGCACAGCATTGAGTAGAAACTAATCTAATAGAGGTCCATCCACATATCAAGTATTAGCTGTAGTCGATGTAAATGTTCAGTACAAGTGACATGTAGAAATGAAAGATCAATGTTTTTTTTAACACTAACACAGATTACGGATTGTGTTACTGTCAGTATAGTACCTACGTGGAAACATGAAAGAAAAACACAGCCAGTCGGGTATTGTTGTTCAAGTATCTCCAAAAGAAATATGGCTTGCACCGTAACCTAATATGCAAGGTTGTCATATAAAGTTTGATTGAACTGAATCAGGCCATATCGCCCTGTTCAGCTCCGAAAAACAGTTTCGGACATGTTACAGAATGTGATTTTTTTGATAAAATTGCCACCATTTCGACAAATTTGATCAAATCTCAAGACAAAGCATGTTGTTACCTTGCAGTATACTACTTATGTACAAACTTTCAAGTGAATCAGGCCATATCTTTCAAATAAGTCTGCACAAAAAAGGGAAAAAAAAAAAAAGCTGGCAGCTGGACATTTTTGTCCAAATTTTGAAAAAAATACAGTCAAACCTGTGTTAACGACCACCTGTGCAGAGCGGCCACCTGCTCAGAGCGGCCACCTGCTCATAGCGACCACCTTAGTACAGTCCCTTCGCAATTTACACGTTAAAGACACTGGATATAGCGACCACCTGTCCAACGCGACCAGCGAATTGTAGACCTATTCACACTTTAACCTTTGTATAACGACCACCAACACTTGCATCAGACTGTCTCAGCAAAAAGACAATAGCTACTCGCGAATTGCAACAGGAAAGTGGCCATATGTTACGTTCAGATTACCGAGTACGCAATCTTTAGGGCTAATAGACAGTACCATCGCAACTTGGTTTGTGAAGGTGCGAAAAAGTTAAAAAAAAAAGTAGAATATCATCTGAATGTAACGTCTAGAGACTGGGCAGATTTTAACAACAAATTAAAACAGTTTCATTCAAAGTTTGAAATGAAAAACTAGCTTGTTTCCGATCGGTACTACCCCCCCGGTATACTATCGATCCCGAGCCGGCCAGCGGCACTTCTGTGGACAGTCTCGCACATGAAGAGCAAATTTCCCCCCGTCTCGAAAACCAAAAAAATTAACCAGTTTTATTAAATGAGAGATGCTTTATTTACCTTGTCGACATGAAATATCCAAACAAAATAATAAAACATTCGTTTATTTCGTTTTCATCGCGGGATTGCAAAATCCGACCTATTTTGGCTGATGTTGTTTGTTGTTGATCGTTATAAATTACGCTAATGAAGCTAGCGCATGGGCAAAACGTATTATTACTGAGGGGTCATCTCGGGGTTATTCTCAACGAAAGATGTTTTCTATTTTGATCCTCTTTTTTTATAAACGGTAATATCAATATTTCGCAATCGAGAAAATTCGTTTGGGCAGTTTTGACACGTTGATGCTTGCAACAAATAACTGTAAAATTGCGTGTACGATCACCGTGTTTCATTTCCGGTTTGTTTGACTTTCTGATTCAACACCGAGAGTTGGAGCAATCGTTATGAGTTTGGTCAATTTTGTTTATTACCAATGCTCCTTCATTGTTTTTTCAATCACGGCAACTTTGCCTGTGCATTTTGTCACAGTGTACAATCGACAATACTAACGATAGACTGATTACCGCCTGTGATGGAATATGTGTAAGAGACTGGGGAATAAGACTTCTTGCATGGCGAGAGTGTGAAAGTCCAAGCTGAAACGCCAATGCGACTGATCGTTGACAATCGTTCTTATTCACTATTACCGTTAAAGTCCTAATATAAACCGCATACGTAATAGTAACCGCACCCCCAATTCCGGCTTTGGGGTTAAAGAGTTCATAACATAAATTGAAAACTTGAAAAGTACCTATTACTAA